TTTATATAGGTTTTAACAGCTCTTGCCCACGAATAACTTGAAAGTGTGTCTAGATTCACATAGTGCTCAACTATTTTCCAGTGCAAAGTGGATGAAGAGTTGGCAAAGAGGAATGTCATGTGGAGCAGAATCAAGACTAGGCTGACCACATCCTTGTCGTAGTCAACAACCTCATTTTCCTCTTTGACTTCCCCCCTTCTTCTTCTTCTTCAGTTTCTTTCTTTGCTTTTCTTCTTTTGCTTTGCCTTGGCCTTTTCTTTCTTTGGTTGGTTTGCCAAGGCAATTGTCTTTTGTGATTCTTCTTCTACCATGCCTTTTGATGGTTTTGCCGTTTTTCCAAAGTGCATTGTTCTGAAGGTAGCAGTGTATCTATCTTTGACAAATTTTCCTTTGTTTGGCAGTCCTAGAATCTCAGTCACTGCATTGGCTGTGATCTGGAAAGATTTGGTGCCGAATTTGAAGGACTTTGTATCTGGATCAAACTTCTTAAGCAGCTGTACTAAGTCGAGGTTCGACTTATTCATGTCAATTCTTTGGTGGTAAAACAGCTCAATCAAGTTCTAGAAAGGGATTTTCTTGAGCGGCTTGTTCTGCCTTTCATTGAACTTGTCTTTCACGTCTGTAATGATGCTGTTGAAAGCAATGACGTTGCACCGAAACTGGACATAGTCCGGGTGCTTCGCTTTCTGATCATAATTTGGCTTTGATTTTCTCTTTTGAGCCATTATTTTGATTCTTGGCTTTCGTTGGTTTTGAGCTTCATTCTTTTGTGGTGACATTTCTTAAGCCATTTGTGATCTGAAACAAGAAGGGATGAAAACACTATTAGGACAAGTTGAGATAAACTACAAGGAAGAAGTATAAATAGTTGAGCAGAAAATAGGAAACTGAAATGCAGTTTGTGGTTCATTGCATTGCAATAACACAAACTGCATTGTATTGACGGGAAACTGTGCAATGCAGAAAACAGAAATATTTGATGCTCTTCCTCTTTTAAAAGGAGCAATCCAAAAGGCAAAACATCAAACATAATAGAAATATAATAGGAGCAATCCAAAACAGAAAATATACATCAACTTGACATGAAATGGAAAGATCAGCATGGTCAAAACAAGAATTTGTTTTCTTCAGTGCAGAAAACAGATATATTTGATGCTCTTCCTCTTTTGAAAGGAGCAATCCAAAACGCAAAACATCATCAAACGTGCTCGTTCTGATCCCACACAAAAGAGACTATGCGCTATCAAGAGATGATTTAAGGAAAAATATGGGCGACCAACTCCTTGGACTTGGATACCATTGATCACCGCATGATGCATGGTGAAGAAAGTTGTTTATCTAAAGACAGCCATCAAACATCTTCTTGGGAACATGGTGATCCTCTTGATGAAAATCGTTTATCAAATTTAGATGACGGTAGTCTACATTGGGCAATTTTGAAGAAAAGGAAGAAATTTATGATTCGATGAGCAATGCAAATGCAGAAAAGGTATGTGTGGTCAAGGCATACTGATGGTTAATATTCTTGACTGTTTTCCAAAATACTGAAAAAGTCATCACTCAGCTCCATAGATATTGAGAAAACATTAGTTTCTAGAAGTTACATAACTTACTAGATTTTCATGTTATATGCCCATATGAATGCCAGTGACAATCAGAATGAGGACAATGTACAGGATGGAGTGCCACCCTTGTTCGGACCAGGTTATTTTTTTCCTAAGCAGTTTGAGGGCAGTAACCTAGACTGAGTGAATATCATAACTAACACCCTTGGGCATGTGGCAAGTTCTTCAGTCAGTCAGAAATAGTTCCTTTTGTGGGTGAACGACTACAAGTGTTCGATATGCAGGATAGAAATGCCACCAAACTTTGTTGAGGAAAAACAAGAATACTTTGATTTTCATCTTGCTGAGAAGCTTCAGAAAGAGGAATCTGGGACTGACTTCAGAACTTGTGTACTGAAGCAAAGTTATACTATATTTTTATTGAGTTTTCAACTTGTCTCTCTTCATATCCTTTCTTTTTCCTCTTGAGGTAATTTGTTTTGTCTGATTGATTTGGCTTGAAACTCAGTCAAAAATGTCCCTAAGGATCACATTGCAAGCCAAAGGAAGCACAAAAAGCAGAAGTAGAAACCAGATTCCAAATTCCAAATTCAAGAATCCAAGAATCCAAGAATGTAGAAACCAGATTGCTTCTTCAGTACGTAAAATTTCCCACTTCCCTAATTAAGAAAAACACAGGGGCTAGCTCCGGAGCCACAATGCCAACCATGTGTGAGATATTGGCCTCATCAAGAACCCAAAACCTTGACCTTCAGCTCCAAACTCTAGGACCCTTTTGTTGTGAATTAATGACTAACTCACTGCCCTTTTAAGATCTTGTTGTTGATGGACTTTGGACAAAGAACTCAATGATGGATGAGTCTTACACACACACACAGAAATTAACCAAGCACAAATGACACAAGTGTTTATAGAGGTTCAGCAAATTGCCTACATCCTCTTTGGTGATCACCTTGAGAAATTTCACTAATGAAGATAGGTTACAACTTTGGTTTATAGGTTACAACTTTGGTTTACAAAGGAAACCCCCTTAGAACACTACCCTCACAATCTGTTTCTCTCACACCCTTGCTCAACACCTTGATACACTTCGAGAACTCTCTTGCTCTCACCTAGGTTTTTCTGAACAAAGCTCTCTAAAGAAGCTCTAACTTGTTTCCAGCTTTTGCCACTACATTAGTTCAACATTCTTTCTCCCTTGTGTTATCTTACTTCATCCCATTACCTACACAAGCCAATGGACAAGAGATAGGATATCTGATTGTCCTCCACGTTCTTTCCTTTTAGTCACCACTTAGACTAAGGGTCAGATAAGGTAGGTAATACAATCCCACTTAGCCACCTCCATTAAACCAGAAAATGGAGAGGAGATTAATCAAAATAGGATAACCAATTAGCCATGAGTGCTCTCCCAACTATCCAGCAGGTAGTCAACCCTCTTTTACCTCAGAAGTGATCCATTAAGCACCTGCAAACTTGTGGAAAGCGATAGCCATTGAAAAGACAGTTGAAAATACGTAAGCAGCATCACAGCACGACTGGAGCGACCGGAATACAATCCCACTCAGCCACCTCCATTAAACCAGAAAATGGAGAGGAGATTAATCAAAATAGGATAACCAATTAGCCATGAGTGCTCTCCCAACTATCCAGCAGGTAGTCAACCCTCTTTTTACCTCAGAAGTGATCCATTAAGCACCTGCAAACTTGTGGAAAGCGATAGCCATTGAAAAGACAGTTGAAAATACGTAAGCAAAGCATCACAGCACGACTGGAGCGACCGGTCGTCAGGAATGGGCGACCGGTCGCCAGAAGTTTTCCCTCCAGACTTTGAATCTGCTTCTAAGAGACCGGTCGCAAATGTCCAGCGACCGGTCGCTCGTGTGCCTGCGACCGGTCGCAAAGAACTAGCGACCGGTCGCTCGTCGATTACTTACGAGACTTCGAATCTGCTTCAAAACGACCGGTCGCAAATGTCCAGCGACCGGTCGCTTTTAGGCAGATTCAAAATCATCCTTTGAGCGCCAAAAACTTTGTATCCTTTTAGGTGAGCCATTTTTTCCAACACCTTTTTCAGAATCACAGCCAAAAGCTTGGAAACTCAGAGAGCTTGGCAAGGCTGAGGGACTGATAAGGTTATGACTGAGTGGGAAAATCCTTCACTTGGAATCAATCAGATTACAGAGGGAGACACTGGGGATGGAGCAGTCAATCTTTGGCATTGGCTTGTTCATTGGAGCCGTTGCCATTCGATACAGCTACGATTGTGGTTGCAAAACAGCTGAGTCTGGCCATCAATGACTCTGACATTTTCCACCACAAGGTTCTTTCTTTTGCTTCCTTATCATGTTACTTGTAGTTTTATTATGTTATTGGATGCTATAGCAATAGTTCAACCTTTAATATTAACATTCTGTACATCAATGGTGAAGCCTTTCATTTGCTTAAATTTCCAAGTATCCTTTATTTTGTGGGAGGCCATGTTTGATAGGGAGGATTAGATTGGAGACTAGTAAAATGACTTGATTTCATGTGCAATCAATAAAGAATATGCAGTATCATATGAGGTTGATGCCTAAAACTTATCCCCATTAAGAGTTTACAAGCGTGACTTATGTTAAGGAGAATTCGTAAGTGACTTATCCCCATTATTGACGAGATTTTATAATGGGGTTGACTTCCTCATTATATAAAGAGTTTACAATACTCGTTAACATAATATATTATATGCAGATTGCCTTTAAAACAGTAGTAGTAGTAGTAGAGCTGTTGAATCAGCAATTTTCTCAACTTAACAAAATCATACAGATCTACTTCATATTGCCAACCGACAAAACATCAGTTGGGAACAAAGAAATTGCCCCAGTGGTATATGAAAATTGAGAAATCATTTAAAGAACAAGAGAAAGTGCCAACCCAATTTTAGGAATCTTGTCAAGTGCCTTGGTGTTGAATTCACCAGAGATAGCCAGTCATGACTTGGGTCTAACATTGTACTTAGAACAGTCTTAAACTTTCCGTGATCGTCAAGTCTAGCTTTCACTACTTTTTGATTATCAACATATGATCCTCCAACAGTCAAGGTGTTTCTCTTTGTTGACAGTTTCTGAGTGAACCCTACCACTGCTGTTAGCAAGTCACCTTTGTTTGCCCTAAAAAAATTTCACAACAACAGGATATTAGTGTCATACTTTTCCCTTAAAGCGGTGACATAATGACTGTAATTAACTCAAATCTGCACTTTAGCCTCCACAAAACTTGTTATATTTGTTAACTATCGGAACTGTAATTTGAACTTATTATTGAATTTATTTTATTAATGTCATTTTAGTTCAAAATGGAAAGACCTACAGAATTATTGAAGCATCAGAATTGATACTCTTCATGTGAATGCCTGCACTGCACTTGGAGAAACAGCTAGAAGCAATTTTGTACTCTGTCTCCATACCAAGGGCAATGCTTGAACTCCCTACAGCTGCTGAAAATTTTATTGCAGGGGACTGGTTCAAAGCCAGAGACATGGACAGAGCAGCATATTCTTGGCGTATTCGAAACCAGAGCTGAAATCAAGATGGGTGAGTTTTTTTTTGGTTCAGATTAGAAATTATTCAATAAGATAGGCTGACTAGTCTGTGTCTCTTTAAATTACAATCTGTTCAAGGGTTAAGTGGCAAGTAGAAATATGTGTGTCCTGAGGAAATGAGCAATTTCTGTCACAGGAATGTTCTTTTTTCTGTCATAGATTTCTTAACAAGAGCACCAATTCTTGTATTATTTCAAACAAAAAATGTTTCAAATCAAGGTTGTCAGAACCTAGAAAGAGCTATTATTCTACTCTTAGGTTTGATTGTAATCTCATGATCAGACTAGTTCAATTTACCATGCAAACAATTAGATAAATAGAAAATTGTTGAGTCATCTGATTATCTACATATTAGTTTTATATTTATTTAGTGAACTGCATTTTATTTTGCACATTTGAGAAGACCAAACAACTTCTGATATGGATGATTCTCTTGCAAGGATAATCCTTAAAGGATGACCTGCATTTTTTGTGCACATCTTAGATGACCAACCAATTTCGAATATAGATATTTTTTCTTACAAAGATGACCTAAAACATAGATGTTTTGATCATTGAAATACATTGTAGAGTAGGCTAAGAAAAAGGTGCAATTTTCTTACAATTTTCTCAAGAGAAGCAGCTATCACTCCATGTTATAGGTAGGTTTGTCTAGCTCTGTCAAGTGGCACATTTATGTGGTTTTAACATTTGTCTTGTAATACTTATGGGTCTCATTTAATCATGATTTTAGGTTTGCTGGCCATAATCATTTGTTGTCAAGATAAACTCTCTGATGTATACACAGAGTTGCTTCCTGCGCGTTCCAAGGCTCTTAAATCTGGAACCGCGATATTAAAAGGTAGTTTAGTATGCTTGATATGCACCTAATTTTTATTAATAGGAATTCTCCAAGATGTATGAATCTCAGACTAAAAATGTTTTCATGCAGATGTTGAATTGTATGGCTATTGTGGGTTTTGTTGCTTCAACTAACTTGGAGAGGAGACCGAAAGTGCCATGCAAATTATTTAGAAGTTCATTCATCCTGAATCTGTCAATGATGTATGTGCACCTTTAGCTTAACTCTAGCTTAACAATTTCTTTTTTAACTTCACTTCACCAGTCCCTATTCAGTTTCTCAAGTATTTAGGTTATAAATTGTTACAAATGGTATCAAATTTTAGAATAAAGAGCTAAAGTTGTTTTTTTTAACTGTTAGGTCAACACAAAGGCGCATTCGGCAGAGGTTTTGCTGCAATATATTCTTGGCTGTTTCTTCTTACAAGCATGGAGGGATGGAGACTCAGCCACAACTCTTGGAATGGGTAAAATGTTAACTCAAAATAATCAAACTGATACAGAGCCGTTTACTATTTCTCAAACCGATAAGAGCACGATGATAAGTTAGTCCGTGTAGCAGCTTGTGAAGCACTGGTCTTGATATTTGAAACTGGTAGTCTTGGTAAGTTTTGGAAGGAAGCAAAGGATCATAGCAACTATTCACATATGCAACAATCACTGAGACCAACTCCGTAAGAGGCTGGGCTGCCAGAAGGGTGTGAGAGTCTGGACTCACTCCCAACACCAGAATAAGACAATAATTTCTCCAAGGCATTGGGCTTGCTCCAAGAACCGCTCGAATGGCTGCTACTTGCAGACCAACCATCTTGCCTTGTGGCTGACATGTTTTTCCCTTGGGTAACTGATGCTGCTGCAAAATTTGGCATTCCAAGGCTGGTTTTTCATGGGACTAGCTTCTTTGCTTTGGCTGCATCAGATTGTGTGAAGCGATATGAGCCTTTCAAGAACATGTCATCTGATTCAGAACCCTTTGTCATGCCCAATCTTCCAGGGGAGATCAAGATGACAGGAGCCCAAGTGCCTTATTTTCTGAAGGAGAATATTGATAATGACTTGACACAATTAATGAAACGTGCTCAGGAATCTGGGATTGTTGTCAATAGTTTCTATGAGCTCGAAAGCCTTTCAAGAACATGTCATCTGATTCAGAACCCTTTGTCATGCCTAATCTTCCAGGGGAGATCAAGATGACAGGAGCCCAAGTGCCTTATTTTCTGAAGGCGAATATTGATAATGACTTGACACAATTAATGAAACGTGCTCAGGAATCTGGGATTGTTGTCAATAGTTTCTATGAGCTCGAACCTGTTTATGCAAACTATCACACAAAGGTCTTGGGGAGGAAGGCATGGCATATTGGCCCTCTTTCTCTGTGCAACAGGGACAATGAGTAAAAATCATAAAAACAACATTCTAGTTGTATACTTGCATCTGGATTTAGTTCATTAGTTGTATTTGGTTATGAATCAGCATGCCTTAACGAACTTTTATAAATGCAAACTACCCTGCAAAAATTGTTCTATTTTTTCGTTCGATTCCCTTTAGACTATGGCATGTATAAAAAAAAAATTCTTGCCCTTTTGATCTCTGATTTTCCTTAATTTTCTAATTGCTATCCAAATAAAGCATAAAAATTCTGTAACAATCAACAACTTCTTGTAAACTAAAAAGGACTAGTTATATCCATAGGTAGCTGGTTCAAGTAATCGGTGGCATACCAACCAATGGAAAAGACTACAAAATAATTTACAGGCACAACAATCCGCTGCAAAAACATCTATGGAAGGGGTGATATATAGCAGTGAGTCTATCTTGAGTTGCTTTGAGGTCCCACTTAGTTTGGCAATTGATAAACCAATGTCAAGTGTCAACCAATTCATTTGTTCTTGCTGTCCTCTCCCTATCATATTCTTTTGACACTGTCGCCATGAACAAAAGCCACAAATCCCTCACTTGCAAGTGTTGTGATTGCAGTCCTCAGCTGAAACACCAATAAAAGCATAACCATCAGCATGAAAATTCAGAGAGAGAGGGAGAGAGAGAGAGAGAGAGAGACTAACATCATTGAGATGGACTTCATTGCCTGAGCTCTGCGCCTTCAGCTCCTCCAGCAACTGGAGGGCAAATTAAACAAATGAAGATGTTAGTTTTAGACAGAATTAAATTTATAGTTTGCACATCTTGTAAATAAGCACACCTCTAACAAGCGCATTGAGGGTCCCCCAAGTTGCAACTTTTCCAAAATTATGTTGCGGGCTGCTGATACCAGACTTTCCCGTCTCATTCTTTCACTTGCAGAAATTCCAGTAGTGATAAGATCCATGTCGATTGTTCCTAAGTATGAGTCAAAAACGATGTTAAACTGTTTGTCTTTGTGGAAAGTAGAATGAAGAAAAAACAGACACAAGTTCTGAAATGCTATACCGGTGGAGTGATCAGTTGCTGATTGCTGCATTGCAACTTCCAGAAGCCGGAATGCCTCCACAACATCATGCTTTTCAACCTGGCATACATCAAGTCATAATTTTATTTATTTTAGTCCTGATGAATCAAATTGTAAATGGTTAAGACACAATGCAATCTTTGCTAACCCATTCTGAGAAACGAATTCGAGCTAGAGCTTCACTAAGTCGTATCAAACTCTCAATCTGCCTGGGTGTTGCTGTTATCACCTGTTAAGTAATCAATTAAACGAACATGATTGATGACAGAATTGAGGAATGTGGTAATAGATCTTTAAGATCAAAAAACACCTCAAAATGGCCACATTCAATGTATTTTGCAAATAAAGCAAGCAAAAAAAAAAAGGAAAGAAAGAAAAGAAATCACATTAAAACCACAAAAGGAATCATCAATTGATGGGAAAAAGGATTATATCATGTGACTATAATGTTACAAAGGATGGTAACATTCTTTTATTTATTCTGCTAAACGAGCACACATGACGAGAACCATGTAGGAAAATTTGTATAACTGCTACCTTTTTGCTACTGCCTGGAAAATTTCCTCTCCTCCTTAATTCAACATAACCTCTAGTCAACTCTTCAGCAGCTTCATCAGATAATTGTGGATGAATATGCTTTCGTGCATATCCCACATATGCAGTCAACGTAGCAAGGTCTAAGACATCCTGCTGTATTGTCTGCAAGTGGAGACATGGAATTTTAAAGATGAACAAGGGATATGCTAAAAATTAGTCTTTTCAATAAGTGAAATCACATATTGATCAGACCTCAGGATTCTCAAAGTGTAATGCAACAATATGCTTTGCAAGGCGCCTGTCTGTATGCTCATCAGCCTTGTCAAGGAGTAAGTAGATCAGATCGAACCTGAGAAAAATATAACGGCCGGAGAGCAGCTCAAAATCGTTAAAGACCTCTAGTGATGTTGTCAACAGCTTCATAATTTTCAGGTGCTATTGGGCTTCGATGACAACATTCAAGAATAAAGAACTTTTACAAACTATGCAAGATGACGAGTTTGACATTCTTTACACCAATAAGTCATTAAATAAGACAAACATATGCAAAGCCATAGTTAAATCATAGTTTAGGCCCTTTTGATATGCTCGTGGCATGGCATAGGTATCCTCTTACCTAGATAATAAGGTAGGAGGGAGGTGTATATTGTCAATTACTGATAAGCGAGGATTATAGCGTGAACCACTTGGATTTGCACAAGCCAAGACTGAAGTCCTAGCATTAAGAGAAGCAATGATTCCTGCCTTTGCTATCGAGACAGTTTGCTGTTCCATCACCTGGGGGAATGGGGGAATATAAGTGTATTTAGAAAGAAACAATCAATGGCTAAATAGTTGCACATAAAGGAATACCAGAATGCATTTTCTGAAAATTTACCAAGTAGTATACTTAATACACCTAGCATACTGACATACTGTTCCAGTGGACATCTCTTATATGCGAAAAATAAATTAATGGTTTCACAAAAACAGAAACAAAAATGGAAATTAAACTGTCAAACTTTAAAACATTTAATCTTGGATCTTAAAATTGTCAAACATTAAAGCATATATTCTGGATTTTCACATGCCACTCAACAAGATGCAGAAGATAAAATTTCCAAATTTATAAAATGAGATCATTTTATAAGCATTTGAAAGAAAAAAAATGCACAAATCTCCCACATAAATATAATAAGTGACGAAATAACCAACCTCATGTAACATGCTCCTCGCACTGTCAGACATTTTGTCAAATTCGTCAATGCAACAAATGCCTCTATCACTCAAAACTAATGCTCCACTCTCTAAAACCTGAAGAATCATAACATATTTCCACTCAACTTCATATATTTGTACGAAATATTCGAAAAATAATTTTTTTTAAACAAAAACATACTGTTTCCCCTGTTTCAGGATCTTTCGCAACATAAGCAGTCAAGCCAACAGCTGAACTCCCTCTTCCACTAGTGTATATTCCACGGGGAGCTAGCTTGTGTATGTACTGGAGCAGCTGGGACTTGCTGGTTCCAGGATCACCAACAAGAAGAATGTTAATATCACCACGGAAGCGAGCACCAGATGGCAACTTCAAAGCATTCCCACCAAAAATCTGCATTTAGGGCAATTAACAATGAGAATCGGTTCAGCAAATAATTAAAGAAAAACTAATTTGCTTAATTAATCAACAAAATACTAAAGGAATCAAAAAGTTAAATATTTAAAGCACCTGGCAAAGAAGGCCCTTTTTGACATCATCTAACTCCCAGATGTTTGGTGCTAAAGACCTGGTTAATCGATCATATATATCAGGCTGTTTTGCCAGCTCTTTCAATTGTTCCACCTGCAATTCCAGCAACAATATGATCAATACAGACAATACAAGCAAAGCCTGATGCAACCGCAAATGAATAAGATAGTATAAATTGATGTACCTTTTTTTCATCAAAAACAATTTCATCTAAGTGTCCAGCCACCGAATTGTCAACTTCCACCGGATTTTGATCCTCAGCCAGCATTCTTGACTTGTCAGATTTTTTTATATGCAGACAATCAATGTATGTCTGCAATCAAAGAAAAGGATTGTTATACCCAGGCCACTAGATTGAAAAAGGAGCTTAAAATTTCCCAGCAAAAAATATAGAAACATGCCTTGAACAATGATTTTACAGTTCTCTGAGTTGGTCCAACTCTAACGGTCATAGCCCTGTATATCCCAGTAACCTATTGGAAAGGAACACATTAAAGATAACAAAAAATATCTGTTTCTTTCTTAGGGTCACGCAACTGGTTACAACATGGACTTACCTCAATTCTATCACCGGGTTTTCCAGCATCAACCAGTTTGTCATGCATCAACAAGCTCACCGTATGCGGTGTTCCTCCTTCAGGGATCTCATCAGGAGTCTCCTGAAGCCTCACGATCTGTTTATCAGTAAATCTGATTCAAAAGTAGTACCCATTAGATGTAATTCATCGTAAAACTCTATTTTCAAACTGTAAAAGTCACATTGTCAAATCAGTTGTTAACCGAATCAGTTTATTTCACAAGTTTTGTTACTCAGTATCTCGCCTTTCAGTTGTATTTCATAGAATAGATTGTGCCATTTCATAAACTGTCTTGATCAGAAGTCTGAACCTATTGACGTTTAGGACAAAGGGTTTAGATTTGAATGTTTGCCACTTCAGCCACAACCATGAGATCTTTTGAACTTTGCTTCAGTTTAAAAACAATTACAGACGCTGCAAGTTTTATTTAACTTTAGTGTCAATCTTTCAATATTAGCATTCAAAAGCTCAGAAATACACAGGTGTCCATGATCCGTTAAAAGTAAAATTTTATATGCATCTCAAATGCATCAGTGGTTTAAGCAAAATTGCAAAAAGAAAGGAGATCTGCAGAGATGGAAAAGGTGAAATTGCATAGGACAAGCATATTAAAGAAGGATTAAAAAAACTCTTCTTTCTCTCTATGTGCAAATATACTTCTAGAAACCATTAAACAAAAGACCAAATGATGGTCTAACAGCCAAACCAACACATAATTTCACACATAAATCCACGCTACGACCTTGAAAATTCCAAATTAATGCCACGAATTACCTGCATCTGTTGTGAACAAGTGTCATAGAATTCCTGGCTTGACACTCTTCCTTCAAGCATATTGTAGGCTCAGTTATGCGCCCTGATAGCACTCAAAACTCAACATATAAGAGAGGAATCCATCCACATCAACATGAAACAAATAAACATGTGATCCCAAAGAGATTACCTTTCTCTACCGGAAGAGGGTCAGAGTAGTAGCCACACACAAGGCATCTAAATATTGCTTCCCTTATCTCGGGTATTATTGAACTAGAGCGAATAATCATTCCCTTTAATGAAACCATCCTCTCAATGTCTAGTAATACATTTACTCAAATCAGTCCGCATATCCAAATACACATTACATTGATCAACAACAAACAAAAAGCCCATAACCAAAAGAAGGAAAATTGGATTGAAATA